GGTATGCATTTTAAAACTTATGAATTATTTATTTATGCAATTTTCCTTTTAATATTTTCTGATCACAGTTGACTGTGGGTAACTGAAATCGAGGGAAGTAAAACAAAACAGTGAAAGAGGAGGGTGGGGAAACCACTGTATTACAGGATGCAGCCCAAGTCCTGAATGTTGATAATAACCTCACATGTGCTTTGTGCTTTTTCCCCTGTCACCTGCCAGGGGTGGGATATCCAGGAACCTATACTATTCGTGATCGTCAACAGATGGTGTGGGTGCTGGAGGGAGAGTCTTTAATCGCAGTTCCTTCTAGCAACAATGTCAAACCTGGTGAGTGACAAAGTTTGCCTCTTAAAGGGATACCAACTCCACTGGGGATGGGGCTGACCTGTATGAGCTCGGCTGTGGCCTCTCCTACTTCTGGGCACCAGCTCAGTGTCCACAGGAGGGCAAGAAAGGACAAGGCGGTTCCCTCCTGCAAAGGAAACCCTGTACCTAGAAATGAGGAGTGAGGGATGGGCAGTTCTCCTTGGCCAAAGAAAATGTCTTCAAGGAGACGGTGTTGTCCATTCAGTCAGCAGCCAACCTTTTCCTCAGAGCTTCTCTCCCTTAAATGTCATCCATTGCTACCCATGTCCTCAGATTAAATTCCTTCACCTTCCACCACCAAACTGCATACTCTTCTGACTTGGTGTCCTCTCCTCTGGTAACAGGAGAATATGTCTTCCTCCGATCAAGGGTCAACCATGCCTCATGAGGCTGTGGGAAGAAGTCAGTGCAACTCAGCTCTTTCCCTCCCCCTAGGATTCAGTGTTTGATCCCATCCCTCTGTTCCCTGCATATCCCACCTTGGTCTATCTATTGGGTCTTTTCTGTCACTGACAAACATGCTCTGATATAATATTTCCAAGCTTAATACTAAAAAGCTCTTCTTGATGCCCACATTTCATTCCTACCGTCATTGTTTTCCTATATACAACTGACCATGCTATATGCCAACCACAGGCCAGTGTGATGAGCCCATACTGCCTTATGAATCTCAAGGTTATGCCAAATGTCACCTAAGTGAAGGAAGCCACAAGATATATAGAAGGAGCTCAGTCCTAGTCCGTTTGGCTCAGTGGATAGAGAGTTCGTGCACTCACTGAAGGGTTCCAGGTTCGATTCAGGTCAAGGGCATGTACCTCAGTTGCAGGCTTGATCTCCAGCCTTGGTCAGGGCATGTGTGGGAGGCACACAATCTATGTGTCTGTCTCATATCAATGTTTCTCTCTCTGTGTCTCTCCTCCCTCCCACCCTCTCTAAAAATCAATGGGAAAATACCCTTGGGTGAGGATTAACAAAAAAA